TGTGAAGTCCATTTAAGTAATTGCGTCCTTGTGAGGCAGGTTGGTGGGGGTCACTCTGTCCGTCTGCTCTGACATAGAGGCGACTAGCAGGCTGGACCCAGGGAGCTGGCTGGCATTAGTGTGTTCAGACACCCATCCCCCAAGTAGTCTGTGTGCACTTCCTACAAAAGGCCGCTGGCTCATATTTGTTTGTCACTTGTGGGAGGTGAGTCCCCTTCCACGCAGCTGTTAAACTAATCTTCAGTTTCAGAGGGAAGTCTAGAAGTGTCCCTCTGCCATCTCCAGAGCCTCCTGCAGGCCAGCACAGCCCCCAGGATGACAGCAGGCACTTGGGATGCTCTAGTCCTGCAACTCTGGAGTTCCCTGCCCACAGGGTCAGTCTGGTCCTAGAATCTACACCTCAACTCTCTTGCTAGTGACAAGCCTCAGTTACAGATAGCTCAGAGGGGGACCTTTCCCAGTGTCTGAGTCCTGATTTGGCCTAGACAACCTGCCAGCTATCTGGGTGCCTGCCAGCTCTCATCTTGAAGCCCTACTCCCAGTTAGACCTGGGCTCTCTGCCCCTAGCTGTGTCCTCTCTTCTGTTACCTGGTCATTTGGACAAGCTTGTCCACCCCAGACCTCCACTGCTCCATGACACCCTGGAAAGGCTGCCCTTGACCCCTGCACTGGGTTTGGTCTCTCAATTCATGTGGATCTTGCCAGTCTGTTGGATGTGGGCAGGGGCTGAGACAGCCACTGAAGGTCAGTACTCACCTCCCACACACAGGCAGGGCGGCCCTACACCTGATGGGCACCAGGAGTGAGCCATTTGTTACTAGTTTGTGGCCCAGGGTGGGTAAAGCAGGGGTGTGAGTTCTGGTGCTTAAAGAGGTAAGACATCAAGTGGAGAACACAGACCTAGGCAGGCGGGAAGTACTCAACAAACAGCTATGGTAACAAGCTCTCTTCTTGGAATGATGCCGACGTGACTGTGGGTGCACCCAGTAGGCGGCAAGGACCAATGATGGTTCTGGAGAAGTTAATGGTACAGACTGAGGTGATGAGAAAGGAGCAGTTTGTAAAGGAACGGTCAGGGTGCTCAGGAACCTCCGTATATGACCAAGCTGGCAGCTCAACTCACCTGGGGCAAAGACGGACTTAGTGGACATGATGGCATCCCGTCTGTGAAAAGATAAAATTTGATCCATACTTCACACCTGCACTCGAGCATAAGCTCCAGACAGACCAGCAGAACCCTAAAGGCCAGAAGAAACCTAGTGTTGGGGTGGACTTTCCAGCTACAACGCAAACCTAGGCCCAGTAAAGACGTATGAGTATGACAGTTAAAAAAAAAAAAGCATGGCAAAAAAACAAAGTCAAGCTGGATGTGGCAGTGCGCGCCTGTAATCTCGGCTACTCTGGAGGCAGAGATTGGAAGCACTGTGGTTTGAGGACAAAAAGTTGGCAAGACCCCATGTCAGCCAACGAGCTGTGTGCAGTGGTGCACGGCTGTCATTCCAGCTACGAGAGAGGAGTAGGTAGGAGGATAACAGTTCAAGGCCAACCCTGGGCAAAAATGAGAGACCCTATCTGAACCCAAATGAAGCAAGAAAGGGCTGAGGGCATGGCTCATGTGGTAGAGCACCTGCCTACGAGGCCCTGAGTTTAAACCCAGGACCACAGATATAAACAAACAAAAATACAGCCAGAAGATGACTGACTGTCAGCACACATTACAGAAAAAGGACTGCTTTCTCTATAAAATGCAAAAAGTTCCTTTAAAAGTACCAGAAACTTGATAAAAAATGGGAAAAGACATGAACAAAAGATAAAAAAGAATGGCTCTTAAGCATGGCTGACATTCAGATTCACTCCTAACTAGAGAAACGCAAATTTACACACTGGGCACCATTCCTCCCTTCTCTCATGGGACAGCTGTAGCACAGGACACGTCTGTTGGTGAGGCTGTGGGAAATGAGCACCCCTGGCACTGGTGGGAATACTGTCTGAAGTGGGAAAAGGCTAGAAATAGTCTAAATATCTCTTCATAGGAAAACACAGCAGAGTACTACGCAGCTGTTAAAAATGAATGCATGCTCTGCATGCATTAAGTAAAAAACAAAAACCAAAGTGCCGAGAGAGATATAGCACCCTTTGTGTAAAAAAGAGGACATAAGCAAATGCTCACATCTGCTCATTTATGCAAAAGAAACACAGGAAGGAAACAGAAGAAGCTAATGAGATGCTTTCCCACAGGAAGCGGGTACACTGGAGAGACAGGAAGGGGGCAGGGAGGAGGGGAAACAGCTCTCTGGACACATGGCCCAGCAGAGCACTTCAGCCAGTGTGACGATCACTCACATGTCCTTGAGGCCAGGCGGTAGGACCCAGTCAGTCACTCCACGCTAATCCAGGTGCCACTACGGCGGGACTGGGAGAGCGCTTAGTCTATTGTCAGGTGACTTTAAGCAAACCAGACGTTCACCTGATGATGTGGGTGGGGCCTAGAGACGCACGCACGTTAATAAGAAATTCTGCCTTGAGGTGGCAGCGTGGGATCCCCCGGGAGTTCCCAGCCTGCCAGCACCCCTGCAAGTTTTGGACCTCTCAGACCCCACAGTTGTGCAAGACAATTTTTGAAGCAGATCGCTGTACACCATTCCCGGCACTGAGGCTACAGAGGGCCCCATGTCTTCTTCTAGCACCTGGGTGGTCCAGGTGTACATCTAGTCGCCTGAGTGTGTGCGTGCACCCACCTGCGGGGCTGTGAGGCCTTATCCCTTGTCACTGTGCTGCCTCTTCAGAACATCACTGCGTTCCTTACCCTGCCCTGCCGGTCTCGGCAGGGCATCGCCCCAGGCTTGCAACCACTCTGCCCAAATCAGTGATGGCCTTGCAGAGCAGGCAGCCAGTGCTTTTCTCCAGGGTCTCCACTGCAGTCCTCCCTGGATCACAATAAATGCAACTTCCATCTAAATACAAACTACTCAGTTGAGGCAGAAAGCTGATCGGCCTGAACAACAGGCTGTTCTGTCATTTTAACAACGTCTCTCTTGATTTCCAACTCCTGATTCATCCCTTCGCTCAGAAAATGGGACCAGAAGTCTCCAACAGGCCTGGAGAACAGCAGATTAAGATGAGGGTGAGGACCCCAACCGAAGGCGCTGCTGGGTCCCCAGAGCACCCAACACAGCCGGGCTGGGGGCCTCTGGCTACCTGTGTTCAATCGAGGCTGTAGGTCCTGAGCTGCAGGGTTTTGGACACCCCACCTTAGATGGCGGAACTCTCTGCCCTGGGCTGGGGCAGAAGGTGTGGAGCTTGTGTCTGTGGGGCAGGGTGGCTCTGTGTGTAGAGAGGCCTAAACCCAGCCTCAGAAAGACAACGTAGCCCCCATCTCACTGACTGTGAGACAGAAGACCCAGCCATGCACATCCACCCAGGCACGCTCCAGCCTCCACCCACCAAGGAGGGTCTGGGAGCTCCGGTGAGAGACTTTCAACCCCTCAGGCCTGGCCCAGCACCCAGCAGAGCCTTCATCGTGCACCTTTCTCCCTGTGTTACCAGGGAAAACCCTCCAGCGCCACCAGCTATTAGTTGACTTAAAGTCTCTGATTTTGGAGGACACATGGCTGGGGGATGTTATTAGTTTCTCACGAGCTTTGCTGTAGATAATGGCCCTGCCACGTGGTAAGGCAGCAGCTGCCTAGGTCACTCTTCAGGGACTCGAAGTCCGCTTTTGCTGAGAACACTGAGTCTTCACGTGGCCTGCAGATGTCCTATATGTGACTGGGGAGGGATGAGAAGGCTTGGTTGACATCCCTGTCTTCGCATCCTGCCTGTCCCCTTTCCTACCTTGGTTCGGATTCTACTCAGCCCAGCACGTAGACACGGTGACCATTTGAAGAAGGTTTTCTCCAGAACTATCGTACAGGGTTAACTTGACCTAGACTTGCCTAGCTTCTCCCCCTTCAAGGCTGAAGAGAGCCACCTGCCACCATGACTGGAGACCCCACCAAGTCCCTGGAAGACCTCTGTCTATCCCAGAAAAGACACGAACATTCCTCCCCTTCATCAGCTGTTCCTCTCCCTCTTTATCCTGCCCTGCCTGTAACCCTTCAATTTCCTGGAGTGGAGCAGTGGATTTGCCAGCAAAGCTCTCTCTTCTTCACTGGGTAAAACCTTTTTTTCTCCCCAGCACTCATTTACTGGACATTGGTTTTCTGTGGGATGAGCTTCCAGACCTGGGTCTGGTAACACTGTGAACCCACACAGATCCCTGTAAAAAGGACTCTGTGGCTGGAGTTAGCAGTCTATAGACAGACAGACAAACAGACACATAGACATTACTTGCCTCTTGAATCACCAGGCCCTGAACACTGAAGCAGCCACCAAGCCTAGAAAATGGACTGTGGACATGCCAAGTTCTAATACCTGTTCCCAAAGGTGGAGGAGCCTGACCCAGCTGGGGAGAACCCCAAATCCCACTGAGGTACCCCTGGAACCCATGAGGCAGAGAGGGAGCCCTGTGTGGTGGGAAGAAGAACCTCTGGGCAGAAAAGCCAGGCCTGTGGGGGAAGGGCTCAGCAAGGGCCACTCTGGGTTAGGCCCTGGGCCACCCCTATAGCGACACTGTGACCTTGAAATTCTGAGCCCTGAACAGGGTGGGCCTTGGGCAGGTGGGTGGGGAGGACAGCCCTGGCCTGACTATAGCACCAGTAGGGCTATCCTGGCTCCTGTCATGAGACATGAACTCCCCAGGGGCTCCTGGCACAGAATTGGCTTACCTGTCCCCAGATGCCTGCACTTGGATGGTCACAAGCACTTCCAGCCTAATCCCAGCCCTCCATCTCCTGATGCCATGGCCACTCACCACTGGCATTCCACTTTGTCCTCCATCCCTGGACTGTGGGGAAGAAACCCTCATGTCCATCCCCTAGGCCCTGTGGCCGACACCCCCACATGGCTGGCTTGTGGGGGATGCCTCCCCGCCTCACCCCACCCCGGGGCATAGGACTCACTTGATGGTCTTCCCCCAGTCACACCATAGCGGCCTCCCGACGGCCTCCATGTCCTCCTTGAAGCGGGCAAGGCACAGCTCCTGGATGAGGGTGCCGTAGTGGGCATCCTGGCAGGCGGTGACCATGAAGAGGTGATGTGCTGTAATAGACACCAGGACCGTCACCATGGGCATCACCTCCTCCCTGGCTTCTCCCACAAACCTCCCCCCCACCAGCCCAGCCCAAAGCCCACCATGAGCTTCACGAGGTTGAGGTGTCTGTGTGATCCAAAGAGGGCATCCATGGTCCCCATCAGATCCATCCTTCTTGGGGGCACTTTGTGTCCCTCAAGGCCCTGCCTGTGACAGAGGGGCCCACATGGACCCTCAATCATACTTCATGCTGCTGGTGACGATCCCCACATGTCCCCAGTTTCCGTGGGTATGGACACCAGGTGCTGGCCTCACTCTTATACACAGTTTCATCCTCCCACCAGCCCTGACACCCTCATTTCACACATGTGGAAACCAAGGCAGTGAGAACTGGTTGGGATTGAACTCAGCTCTGCCAGCCTCCACATCTGAGTGATACCACTGGGAGGTCCCCACGAGTGAGGGAGGACTCATTGCTGCCCTGGGTATGGGCTGCAGGAGAGTCTTGGGTCCAGTCCACCTGGTTTAACTGGTATCTATGGGCTGCACTGCACTACCCGGCTGCGAGTCCCTGGCATATCGTGTGTCTGGATAGCCATGCCTCATGAACCATGCTGGCAAACTGAACATGAACTGGGTTCTACCCTCTTACCTTAACAAATACACAAGGACAAAGATGATCTGCCAGGTGACACATTGCACAAAATCAAAACACACCCATTTCCCCAGGTGTTTGCTTTAGGCCCAGGAGGGTGTGGACGGGTGAGGAGGCCCTTCCCTCTGACCCCTGACCCCGTCTCTCTAAGGGATGGCTAGGGGTAAAGTCCTTGAATTATTTCTGGTTCTGAGTCTGGCTGCTCCCTCTCCTTTCACACAGGCTCTGCTGGACATCCCCTGCCCGCAGGGCACCTGGTCCCACCACCACTCTGGCCCCTTGGAAGGAGTTTGAAGGTGGGGCCGGGGCTGCACTTGGGACTCCAAGCTACTTGTTCTTCTCCCAAGGCAACACACCTGGCTCTCTGTGAGCCACTATCACCTCTTCCATGTCCAAGGCTTCAGCAAGCTCTTTCAGCTTCCAGCTCTGGGCTGCCAGGTCTGTGGCGGTAGAATGAACCTGTCCTTACACCTGCCCATCCATTACTGCCCTTGCAGCCCACCATAGGCCTCATGAGTGAGAGCTCCAAGTTCTGTCCTCAAGCTCAGCGAGCTCACTATGTAGTGGCTGAGTGGGCCACCTAAGGGGCGGCCTCTCTGGGACATGGCCTAGACAGGGCAGGAACGTGAGCAGCTTCTTTGGCTCCACAGTGAAATGCAGAAGAGCCAGCACTGGACCCCACGGTCTGTGGGCTCTCCCTTGGCTCTTGTGTGCCACTTGCTCGGAGAGCGGTCCTACTGTGATCACCCATTTAGGGATGGGGAAACTGAGGCCCTGGGTTCAGAAATGGGACAAGGTCCCACCAATGGAAGCTGTGTAGGCCAATGCTGAACTTAGGCCTGGCCTCTCTTGGCCTAGAACTTTGGCTCTGGTGCTGCAGGGCTTAGAACTGGGGCAGAAGTGGGTTGGTAGCCAGGAGCCTGACCTGTCCTCGAGGCAGACTCAAGAGGGGCAGGTTAGGCAGGGCCAATCAGGGGGCACAGAGAGGGTAAGAAAAAGGGAACTGAAGGAGTAGGGTCCAGAGTGCAGCCAGACAGAAGATGGGCAGATGGAAGGACAGGTTCCACCAACTGCAGACCTACCACCAGCCAGCCAGAGCTGAGAGCTGGAAGGGAGAGGGGATGGAGTACAAGATAGAGGACCAAGAGTTATGCATATGCAGTTTTTAGACACGGCTGTTGTTGTTTGCAAGTCTGAGCGCCAAGGCTCTAAGAAAGCTGAAGGGAGATGGGGCAGTGCAAGCCTGGGGGTAAAGACTTTAAGAGTGATTAGGCTAAGGAACCGCTAAGAGAAAACATGGGACAGAGCGAGTCTAAGGAAGGAGGTTTTAAGCAAGGTTTTTAAGAACTGCAAAGGAGTAAGGCCTTAAAGAACAAAGATAGAGAAAAGAAGCAATGAGGGTTGGGCGTCTCCACCCGAGTGTCCAACACACCTGACCCCACTTTCTGTCTACCTGTTTATCCTGTGTCTTTTCTGAATCTCCGGTCGCCCCAAGTTAAGCCCAGGTAGGTTCAGTAATAACAAGGGAGGGAGAAAACTCAGTCTAGCAAAGGAGTGAGAAACAGCTCACTCCTCCAGGAAGGCTCAAGCCTAGGCAGGGTGCTCACTCCTGGCCAGGGCCTGTGTATCTGAAGCCGAGGCGGGATGTCACCACTAGGCACGAGCAGCCCCCAGGCAGCTGGAGCTCACATATGCCACAACAAACCACCCTCAACCCTTTCCAGGCAGGGATGGAGACTTGGGGAGGCTGGTGGCCAGAGGGAATTCAGATTCCCACTAGGTGAGGTTTTCTCTGATCCCCGAGGTGCAGGTGAGGAAATACAGTATGAAGGTGCATGGCTGCTTTGGGGCCCTGCCCTGTCCTGCATCATATCTGTCTCCAGGACAGAGAATTCAGAGGCCATGAATTCCCTAAGTTGCTCACTCTCAGCTCCTTCTGGAGTATGGGGCCACGGGAGGGCCAGGGGACGGGTCTGCCAGGAGGCCTACTGGCCCTCACCCCAAGCTGCACCTGCCCTGGGAAAGCTCGGCGTGCAGAGCAGCCTCTTCCTGGCTCCCCAGCAAGCCTCACGCCCACCTAAGTTCATGCCAGCAGCTCTGCTGTGGGCCTGTGTCCACATGGGTTTAGTGGAGCACCTGGGAACCAGAAGGACAGCTGGGAACTCTGTAGTTATTCCCAGAGTCAGGGAAAACCTGGGCAAGGGGAAGTCCACCTGCTGTGACAGGCAAAGCACCAGGGGCAGGCTCAGACTTCAGCTTATCTAGGAAACTCTAGTCTCCTCCTGAGGAGGGTTGAAGGTTTTCCCTCTCTTTGTCCCTTGCCCCTCACCCTGCCCTACCCTGCACTTGAACCTGGAACACCTTTCCCCAGTGAACCCACACCCAATCTGTCCTCCTCCAGCTGCCCACAGCTGTGGAAAGCCACCCTGCCCTCCACACTCCCAGCCACCTCCTGAGTGCTCAGGCAGGGAAGGAAGACCGTTTCTTTCTCTTCTCAGAACCGTTTTTGCCGCCCTCTCACCTCCCACTCCTTTCTGATTCATGCATATGTCACCCTCCCCAACACCCAGCAGCTTGGAACGTTAATATTTGTCAGGTGAGCCAGCGTATACGTGAGATAGCCACGCCAGCTGTCGGCGGACATTGTGGGGATTGCACCCAGTGCAAGGAACCAGAGGATCAGGAACAGTCCTGAAAGAGCCAATTTTAGGATGAACACGCGTGTTTGAGGCTCAGTCAGGGTTCTAGGTGGCATGAAACAGAAACCAATGTAGGTAAGCATTGGGAGAATTTGTCACAGGGACTCTGGTGTCTCTAAACCCTAACCCTAGGGGACAGAGAGGCAGGAGCTGAATCCCTGTCCTGCAGAGCCCCATCTGTCCCCCTGCTCTGTGGGGTCAGAGACACCCACACACTGCTCTTCCTTTCCTGACCTGGGGAGCCCAGAGGCCACATCTGGGATGAGGCTGGGGTAGGGGTGCAAACAAATCCAGAAACCAGTTTCTGTTTTTAGATGCAGGAGAAGAGCACTCTCGTCCTTCTCAACAAGCGCTGATGAAGGCGTTTTCACTGCTTAAAAACAGAATAAAATTGCCGCAAACGTTCAACTAGCTGTTTGGGGCTGAACAGGCCCCCATCCTGAGTACATGTGACCATGAACACAAACTGCGTGCTGAGGCCTGAGATGCACCGTCCTCCCCCATGGGCTGAGCACGTCAGGACAAGACCTCCCCAGACTGTGCATAGCTTAGGAATTCCGGGCGCTGCAGGGAGTCAGAGGAACCCCCTAGCCTCCACACAGCGAGAAAACGGCCCTAAAGTCCACCGAGACAGCAGTCGCACCAAAGGCTGGGAGGGATCCCCACGCAAAGTAAGGGGGCCCAGGGCTGGCAGCCACCGGTGTGCTTGCCTGAGACACCTGAGAGGCTAAGTGGCAGCAGCCCCCAAGACTGGTTGGCTGACATCTGCAGAGGCTCTGATCCTGAAGGAGAGTCCCATGAGGTGACTGTGGTCACCACCTCAGTGAAACACCAGCAGGGAGGGGGCGCCAGGAAAGCAGTGTGGGCTCCACCTTCCTTGGTGATGGACAGCTCCGTAAGGAGCCTGGAGCAAAGAGAACACACGGTCAAGCTGAGAACAGTCCTCCAGGCCACCTCTGTCCTCCCTCTCCACAGCTGCCTCTGCCCCAGTGCCACCTCTGTTCTTGCACCAGGTCCTCAAGGGCAGCACCTTCCATCTGAGCAGGTGACAGCCTCTGGTCAGCACTCTTATTCCCAAAGCTACTGACATCCTGAAAGCAAATCCCGTATTATCGAAGAAGGGCAACGTTTTCGTGATTTTACACCGTTAGCAACCCACCTGTCAAAGAAGACTTTTTTCCCCAGAATTTTTTTTGGGTGGGACTTGGGTTTGAACTCAGGTCTTCACGCTTGCAAAGTAGGCGCTCTACTGCTTGAGCCATACTCCAGTTCTCGAAGAAGCCTATTACTGCACACATTTTATAACCCCTAGTGCAGAGGCCCAGGCAGAAGTCAATTTAGGAACAATTGTGTGCTGGCCCCAACTCCACCAGGAGCAGGCCAAGACTTTGCTACTGGGCCCAGGACCCAGTGAATTTGGGAACGACTCTCCCAGAGGGCCAAGTGCCTGGAGTCTGACAGTATGAAGAGGGACCACGGGCTCCCTGGCCCATCAGAGCCCTTGATTCGCCAGAGCAGGGTTCCCTGTCCCCTGTCCTGGGTGGACCATGAAAGCTTGGTACCAGCCTTCCTCCTGTGGTTGCTGCTGTGTCCCCAGCAGCCAAGACCTGGAGGAGGCACTTAGTGACCGACCACCCGTGTTTGTGTCCCTTCA